TAACTCTGGAGTCAGACTAGGGTTCGTAGCTCCCAGTGGTCTCCATTTAGATAACATCCTTGCCTAGCTTTTTCTGTCACCTGACCTGCTTTCCTCACATTCCTCCTCCTCTGAGCGCTTTCATAGTCAATCACAACAATTCCCTTCTCAGGTTCTATTATTATTATTGTTATTATTATTATTATTATTATTTTAATTTGAGAGACAGAGACCAAGACAGAAAAAGAGAGCAAAAGAAAGATCTGAGGCTGGTGTGGTCGCAAAGCAAGCCAATCCTCTGCCTGTGGCACCAGCATCCCATGCGGAACCAGCTGGAGTCCTGCTTGCTCCACTTTACATCCGTTTTGCTGCTAATGACCTGGGAAAGCATTGAAGGCTGGGTCAAGTTCTTGGGCCGCTGCATCCATGTGGAACACCCAGAAGAAGCTCCTGACTCTCAGATTTGGGTCAGCTCAGCTTTTCCTGTTGCGACCATTTGGAAAGTGAAGCAGCAGATGGGATCTTTCTCTTTCTCTCTCTCTCTCTCTCTGTAACCAACTTTGACTCTAAAGTAAGTAAATAAATCTTTAAGGGAGAGAGGTAGAGAGAGACCACTTCCACCCACTGGTTTGTACCCCAAATATACACAAGCTGGACCCCAATGTAGGTGTTCTACGTGAGTCGCAGAGACTCAACTACTTGAACTTTTACCCCTGCCAGCCAGGGTGCACTTTAGTAGTCAGCTGGAATCAGAAGTGGAAGCAAGACTCAAGCCCAGGTGCCTTGATGTAGGCTGTAGGCTATCTCAACGGCCATGTCAAACGCCCCTTAGGCAATGCAACATGACAGTGAGCAATAACCCACATAGAAGGAGTCTCATGTTCTGAGCTGTCCAGATTGGCAGATATCCACAATGCCTATTTTAATACACAAATAAGACACATGATCCCAATGGTGAACACATCCTACTGCAGGGAGTATTTCTCTCTCTCTCTCTCTGATTATAGGATGCTTCAGGAGTTAGAATCCTATCTGTGCTCATTGTTTCAGACTCAGGCTAATACAGACTTCAGAATGGGACACACAGTAGGTCATCAGCACGTATTCGTTGAATGAGGTGGCTATTGCTCCTAGATGGGCGCCTCTGCTTCTATTCCTAGGGAGTTGGGTTTCCAGAGGATTCAGATGCCAGGCTCTCTTCGTTTTCATAACAGTTTGAGGTTTTCCACCCACAGCCAAATCATTTGTGAAGCTCAGTGTCTTAGTTTCCTCTGGTCACACCTGTTTCATTGTCTCTTTCAAATACTTTCCCCAGTTTTTTTTTTTTTTTTTAAGATTTATTTATTTTATTGGAAAGGGAGATATACAGAGAGGAGGAGAGACAGAGAGGAAGATATTCCATCCGATGACTCACTCCCCAAATGACTGCAACAGCCGGTGCTGTGCCAATCTGAAGCCAGGAGCCAGCAACTTCTTTCAGGGTCTCCCACACGGGTACAGGTCCCAAGGCCCTGGGCCGTCCTCAACTGCTCTCCCAGGCCACAAGCAAGGAGCTGGATGGGTAGTGGAGCTGCTGGGATTAAAACCAGCGCCCATATGGGATCCTGGCACATTCAAAGCGAGGACCTTAACCATTACACTATCGCGCTGGGCCCTACCCTGTTGTTTTATGTCTTCATGATCATTTCGGGCTCCTTGTTCTCTGCAGGTCGTTCTTCCTTCCTTTATCATAAAAATTTAAAAAGGAGATTAAGAACTGTCTTCTAACTAGTGCAAAAATAGAGAATTCAATGGAGCAATGGAGTTAGAAATAGACGTTATATTAAAAATTTGACCTATCAGTCCTGGTGCAATAGCTACATTCTCGCCTTGTAATCACCAGGATCTCATGTGGGCACTGGTTTGTGTCCCAGCTGCTCCACATCCCATCCAGCTCCCTGCTTGTGGCCTGGGAAAGCAGTCCTTGGGACCCTGCCCTTGTATGTAGGAGATCCAGTGCAAGCTCCTGGCTCCTGGGTAAGTTCAGCTCTGGCTATTGCAGCCGCTTGGGGAGTAAACCAGTAGATGGCAGATCTTTCTGTCTCTCCTCCTCTCTGTAAATCTGACTTTCCAATAAAAATAAATAAATCTTGAAAAAAAAAATTTGACCCATCATGAGGACAACATCACACATTCCTATATATATATATATATATATATGTATATATATATCTAATTTCCAAATGGTGAATTCATTCCTAAGCTTACAAACATATGGATATGGTGAACCTTTGGTGCCACCATACTGCAAAGAAATTTATCCATAAACATAAAACTAGAAGTGCTTGCCCAGACCGGTGTCTAAGAATGTTCTTTTCACTGTTAGCTGTGTATCGAGAAAGTGAAAGAAAACTTGCTGTAATTCTGGACAATGGTAGCACACCTCTCCCTTCCCTCAGCAGAGACCATTCGGGGAGCTGCCCTGGGTTTCTAGGAGGAAACTCAGATTTCAAAGAATCTTCAGGTTTCATGTGTTACTAGAGGGGGAAGCAAGGGGGCGGGGAGCGAAGCGGGGGAGGAAGATATGTGTCCAGGAAAACTCTGACTACCTTCACACATACTGAAAAATGAGGTCAGCTCCATCTAAATAAACGGAGTGACTATTATTAGAGAGCCCAGGTGCTGCATTAGGAGGAAAAACAGAAAAACTCACAGGAAGAGGCCAAGGGAAGTGGCGAACATGGTTACCGGGCAGGGGATTAGGGAGGGATTCCGCAGGGCTCTGCGGGATGCAAAGATGCTCCTTCCCATTTAAATATTTAGTCTGTGTAATGTGTGTGTGTGGGTGTGTGTAAGATAACTTAGAAAGCTCAAGGAGAAATGGTATTAAATTTTATCTTGGCGCAAAAACTTCTTTTAAATTCACGCATACTGTTTTTCATAAAATTCCTCTTCTACAAACTTTTTGTGGCCTCTTCATGCATGTGTTTGTATGTATATACATACACCTATGATATAAACAGTTTGTGTATACATACACATGTGTGCATGTATAGTCATATATATGTATATATCTGTTTAAACTACATGATATACAGATGGTGTAGGAAATGCAACATGTGGCTCAAAATCCAAGATGCACAAACCGACTCTCTCCTACGCAGTCTCGCCCTCACCCATGTCCCCTTCTAAGCTGGTTGTTCCTTGCACTTTCCTTTTGATGTTGGAGGTTTCCTTTGCAAAAGGAAAGCATGTACCTAGAAACCTGCCTTGTCCCAGCTCCACAAGTGGCAGGATGCATAATGATTACATTAAAAAAAAACAAAAACCATGGAGTTCTTTGGTTATACCGGATACTTAACATCACACAAACAGCATTTCTAACATTTTGTCTCCTGCTGACAGACATTTCAGTTAAAATTTATTTTAAAAATGATAATAATCTAGTGCATACAAGAATCTAACTAGTGGACAAATTGCTAGAAGTAACATTGCTGGGTCAGTGGGATGTGCTTTCTCACAGACACTGCCACTCTCCTCTCCATCAGCCAGGGGCAAGGGGTGGCTGTCTCACCCCACCACCAGAAGCCGAATGCTCGGTGCCAAGCGTCCTTCAGCTGTCACTACACCATTAGTACAGTCTGTCTCACATAGGAACATGGATTTTTAAAATTTTTATTTTAAAGTGAGAGTTACAGAGAAAAGGAGAGAGAGAGAGAATTTTCCATTTGCGGGTTCACTCTCAAAGTGGCCACAATGTTCACAGCTGAGGTGATCTGAAGCCAGAAACTGGAAACCAGGAGCCAGGAGCTTCTTCCAGGTCTCCACGCAGGTGCAGACATCTGAGAACTTGAGCCAGTTTCCACTGCTTCCAGGCCATAAGGAGAGAGGTAGACTGCATGCAAGTGGAGAAGCAAGGACTTGGTGCCAGCATTGCAAAAGAAGGTAAGCGTGTTACACCCCTGTACTGGCCCCTGGGTCCGTTCTGAGTGCAAACAGATGTGTGTCTGGACCCACCTTCAGCATCGGACCTCGGAGACTTCAAGACACATAGCTTTTTAAATTATAAGTATATCTTGATCTTTCCTCGTAATTATCTGTCTGAAATAAAACCAGCTCTTCTCCCTGCCCTGTGACATCTGCGCAGTGCCCTAGGCAGGGACACTTTCAGGATCCCACGGCGAGTCAATAGGATATCTTGGAGACAAGGAAGACCAAGTGTCACGCTTTCAGGAGAGGAGGAAGTTGCCTCAGTAATTTGAGGGAATAAAATGGGAGGAGCTGGCGCTGAGGAAGCAGCTGGCTCAGCCCAGGTATTCCTTGTGGGTGCAGTGTACCCAATGGCGTGAGCTGCATCACTTGCCTCGCAGGGCGTCCACTGCAGGGTGCTGCGATGGTAGCAGGCACTGTGGTGTGGAATGCTGGCACCCAGAACGGTGTCTCAACCCCTGTGCCAAACACCCGTCCCGTGTCACATGCAACGGTCAGAACGGAAGCCTAACCTTGATGAAAGCAGAGATCATTCTTTAAGTGTGTGGGATTTTAAATATATCCAAAACATGTGTCAGCTTCCAGTCCCTCTCCAAGGAACCACGCAACACTCATTTATTTTGTTAGTTGAATGTCTATTGAACTTTCATCTTTGACCAAGTAGGGCCCACGTTTACATAAAATTATCTTTAGCACGAATTCTTCAACTTCCCTTTTTTTTTTTTTTTTTTAAACAAGCACTCCAGGTGATTTTTGATGACAACGTTTGAGAAATCAAGGCGCCAAGTGGAAACGGGTGCTCCTTCTCTCGGAGGTGAGAATCCGAGGGCGCCGGGGGCTTGGACGGCCAGAAGCCTCAAGCTCAGCGTAGCTGGCTCGAGCTCCCAGAAGACACAGAAAGAAGCTAAGGGAACCTAGCAGTGACCACCGGAACCCAGACAGGTCGGTTCTATAGGTCTCACACCCTAGGAGTTACGGGAGGCCCGTTACGTTCGTCCCACTTCCGGGCTCCACCTAGCCAATAGGAACACAAACGCTCAGCCAATCCGCACCCTGCATCTCTTCCGGCGTTCTGCTTGCTGCCATGGAAACGAGACGGGCGAATGCGGAGCGACCGCGCGGCCGTGAGTCCCGCCTCCTTCCCGCAGGTCCCACCCCCTTTTTCCGCGGACGTTGAGCGCTTCCTCTGAGGCGCGAGGCGAGGCCGTTAGGTTTAAAGGAGGCGCCCTGGCGGCCGCTCACATCCGGGCCTCCGCCAATAGAAACAGAAACGAAGCAGCCTATCAGTTCTCCGCGTACCTTCCGGCGTTCTGCGTGCTGCCTTGGCAACGGGATGGCCGACTCCGAAAGCAGAGGGCGGTTCGACGCGTGAGGTGTGTGTGTGTGTGCGGGGGTGAGTTCTGCTTTGGCGCGCCCCTTCTTCTTCGCGGCTTCTCTCTCCCCCCCCGTTGGTGGAACGGCGGGCCTGTCCCGAGGCGGAGGGCCAGACGCGCGCATTCGTGGCAGCTCCCGAGTGGACTGGCGGCCTCGCTCTCCCATTGCCCAGGTGCGTGGCGTTTGGCGGGGGCTACAACTGGCCACGAGTGCGGGGTCCGCATCTCCCTGGGCGTGTGCTCTGGCCAGCCTTTTTCAGAGGCAGGAGGGATGTGGGGCGATCACGTCCCTCGGTTCGGGGGATGCACTTTGGGGTGTCCAGAACGGATCGTGTGTCTTTACGGTCCGGCTGTGTTTTCCTGGGCTCCCAGCCGGCCTCGTTAGCTGATGTCCAGGAAGCCGCTTGGCACGAGGGGCGGATGGTCGCGTGGCACCATCACACCTGGAGTTCATCAAGGACCTAATGGATGCTTCGCAGCAGGAAAGGGATTGGGATGGGCGGTTCGCCGTGTCGGAGGCACCTGGCCATCCGGCGTGGGGCCCGCCCCAGAGGCTGGGATCCCTTGCGTCTGGACCAGGGGGCCGACCGCACCCCTGGTTTAAGCTCGCAGGTGATGCTGCTGCCCCTGGTAGCTTGAGCCTGAGGCCTGGGGGAGGTGGGAGTGCAGGAGCGCAGGGGCTCCTCCCGTTCACCGTACACCGCCTGAATCTTAAATGTTCCCTCTGTTTGCGCGGGCGCGCCTGTGTGTAATTTGCTCTGGCTTCTTAATTGCATCCTGACTTTGTAGATTAGACGCACCCGCACTTTGAGGACCCTAGACTGAACGCCTGGGTGAGAAGGTGACTGCCGAAGCCAGGGGAGTGGGTGGTCGTGTGATGCAGGTGGACCCCCAGGGGAGGAAGCCTGCATGTGCTAGGCAGGGCCTCCTACTGACCTGGCTGGCGTCGGAAGATAATTAAACCGTACAAGTATTTTGTGGTAGTGTATCCTTCATTTTACCACTGAGAGAGTTACACACTTATTTTTAAAAATACTTATTTGAACGAGTTAGAGAGACTGAGGTCTTGCATTCTCCGGTCTGGCAGAGCTTGCACGAAGTCAGGTTTCGGGACCTTCTTACAGGTGTTCCAAATGGGTGCAGGGGCCCAAACGCTTGGACCCTCCTCTGTGCTTCCAGGCTCTTAACTGGGAGCTGGATTTGAAGTGAAGCAGCCAAGTCTCCAGCCGGGGCCCATATGGAATGCCGGCTGAGATTGTAGTTTTGCACAAATGGTAGTTCATTTGAGAGAGAAATCTCTCAGCTAGTTCACTTCCTAAGTGCTGGGCCAGGCTGGGAGTTGGAAGGACAATGCAGGTCCCCCACACGTGTGGTGAGAACCCAAGTGCTTGAAGCATCGCCTGCTGCCTTCCTGGGGTGTGCATTTACAAGGGTTTGGGGACCAGGAACTCGGTCCAGGTCTTCGTGGGGGGTGACAGAGACTCGTAATACAACTGTGGCCTATCACTCTTTGGGGTACACATTAGCAAGTAGGTGGGATCGGGAGCCGAGACGCAAATTGAACACGGCACTAAGTTATAACATGCAGGTGTCTTAACTGACACAAGAAGCACCTGTCCTGCAGGTTGTGGATTTTTAAAACTGTTAGAACATCTTGAATGGGGCGTGTTTTGGAGTCAGAAAAAAAATAAAAGTTTATGTATAAAGTCATATAATGAAAGATTTGAAAGGTGGCTTAGAAAGCCATGGGATGTGGTTGAATTGAGAGGACAGCCCTTGGAAAGGGAGGGGAAGGGGTTGGAAGCACTTGGCCGTCCTCCTCGGAGTGGATTGGGAACTGGTGGGCTCTGTTGATTTCAGGCTGGCTGCCTGCTGCGCACCTGCCGCTGCTCAGCACAGATTGAGGGTTTAACTTGTCCCAAATAGAATCCAAACTTTTAAAGATTTTCCTTAATACATGTTTCTCATAAACCAAAGCCTGTTCTGAAGAAATCAATGAATGAATTTCAGGGAGCAGAGGAAGGTTAAAGGAATTTTGTTGACAAAAAGAATTGGGCCTTTTGTTCCTTTTCATTTGAATTTATAATTCTCCTGCCTCTTTTGCTTGGAGTTTTACAACTGCGACGCCAGTGAACTGCTTTCTTCTTGGGTTGCAGTAGGCTTATAACCCAAATAATTACATGTAGGTAGTGCCCTGTTATTTTTTAAAATTATCCTTAAAGTAGAGGGAGGGGGGCTGATTGACTTCCCACAGGTCTGCAGTGGCCCAGGTGAGCTGGGAGCATGGAATGAATCCGTGTCTCCTGTGTGGGTGCCTTCCCAGGAGCACCAGTCAAGGAGCCTTCAGGACCCTGACATGGAATGCCAGTGCTGTAAGCGCAGCTCAGCATGCTTGGCCATAACACCAGCTCCTCCGTAAACGTGTATGTACGTTTCTTTTTCTACTTTTGCAGTAAGCTTTAATTGCATTGGAAGGTGAGCTCGTAGAACTACCTTCGTTGCTAGATTCCTAGATCACTGGTTCCCGAAACCAGGACATGCCCAGTAAACTACTGGATGTGTTCACATCTGACCCTGGGCTTGTAGCCGAATGGCCTACAATTGAAGAATGGTGTTTAATTTTTGTAAATAATTTCAAACTCCCAAAGAATAGGGCCAAGCATGGTGGCCAGGTGGCTAAATCCTTGTGCTTCATGCTCTGGGATCCCATATGGGTACCGGTTTGTGTCCTGGCTGCTACACTTCCCATCCACCTGTTTGTGGCCTGGGAAAGCAATTAAAGATGGCCCAAAGCCTTGGGACCTTGCACTTGTGTGGCAACCCCAGAAAAAGAATCCTGGCTTTTGATTGGCTCAGCTCAGGCCACTGCAGGTATCTGGGGAGTGAACCAGCAGATGGGAGATCTTTCTTGCTGTCATTCCTTTTCTCTCTAAATATGCCTTTCCAATAAAAATAACTAATACTAGCAAAAACTTCCAAAGAATAGTATTTTGTGGTGTGAATGAGCTGGGCAAGTTAGACTTCAGCTGTCTGTGGTGGAGCACAGCCATGCCCCGTCATTTATTTGTGCCTGGCTGTGCTGTTGCCCTTTTGGCAGGTGTAAGTAGTTGGGACTGGAGCCACTGGATCAGTAAGCCTAAAATGCTTGCTGTCTGAAAGTTTACGGAGAAATAGCTTCCCGCTGTTGATCAGACTAGGATGGTTTCGTCTATAAAATGCACTTCCTTTTCTTCTTAGATTTATTTATTTCGGGCCTAGTGTGGCAGCCTAACGGCTAAAGTCCTCGCCTTGTACACACCAGGATCCCATATGGGCACCGGTTCTAATCCCTGTGGCCCTGCTTCCCATCCGGCTCCCTGCTTGTGGCCTGGAAAGCAATCAAGGATGGCTCAAGGCCTTGGGCCCCTGCACCAGCGTGGGAGACCTGGAAGAGGCTCCTGGCTCCTGGCTTTGAATCGACTCAGCTTCAGCCATTGAGGCTACTTGGGGAGTGAATCATTAGGTGGAAGATCTCCCCCCCCACCAAAAAAAAAAAGGTCCAGAGCTGAGAATGTATTAGCCAGGGGACACAGATGTCTTAACTGGCAGGCTCAACAGCTCTTCCCAAGCACCTTTGTACATTGTCTCATTTACTTCTCATATTTCATGAGGTTATCATGGGACATACATGATCCTGTCAGTGTAGTTTCCATTATAACATTATCCATCGTGACATTACATTATTGATGTGGTTTCCATTGTAACAGACAAATGAAGAAAGATACTAGGATACCGTGGGCAAAATCTTCATTCCCTAATTTTGTTGCTTGTGTTTAAAATGCTTTGCCTTTTTTTTTTTTTTTTTTTTTTTTTACTATTTTTGTGAGGATTTTGTTGATAGGAAGTTGAGTATTGGCTTGTGAATTTTAATTTCTTCCTTTAGCTTTGCTCATTCTATAAAAAGGAATGGTGTTAAAATTCAGCACTTGTAGGTGGATAGTTTTGAACTGCTAGAATTTTTAGTTACCTATGTAGACTGTAATTGTCCTCAGGTGACTGTCCTATGTTAATTAGGCCAAGAGCTTGTGTTGATGCTGTTTTTGTTTCCTCTGCAGGAGCTGGTGATGCTGTTCTGTCATCTGTGAGCAGTCAGCTGACAGATGGAAAACTTCATTCTGTATGAGGAGATCGGCAGAGGAAGCAAGACTATAGTGTATAAAGGCCGACGGAAGGGAACCATCAATTTTGTGGCTGTTCTCTGTACTGAGAAGTGCAAAAGGCCCGAGATAACCAACTGGGTAAGTCAAGTGTGTTTCCAGCTGCCTGGAGGAAGACACAGGTAGAAAAAGGGAGTGCAGAAGCAAACCGCTGAGCTCGTCAAGTGATGCCTCCTCCGTCTAGAATGGTCGGCCTTGGTCCTGAGTGAGTTGTAAATGTAGGCAAATGATCAGCTTTGATTTGTCTTCTCTGTGTTTCTTCCTTTTCTGGTCCAGGGAATCAATATTTTCTTTTGAAATTGAGTGGGTTGAACATTTGATGTGGTGGTTAAGGTGCTTGTTTTGGTAAACATGTAAAAAAAAAATAAATTTTACAGCTGCAGTGGTTTTAGCTGTGTGGTCTAGCGCTTATAACTACATTGGTACTGTCACACATTCATCACCTCTCATAGGTCTCCATAGTTCTTCACTTCTGAAATCTGAAAACTGTAGATGTTCAGAGAGACAACCCATTCTTGGCCTTCTCCACCCCGGCAACAGCCACTCTCCTTTTTGTATCGAGGATTTTGACTGTTGCAGATGCCTTGTTGTAACTGGCATCACTTTGTCTCTTTGTGAGTAATTCATCTCACTTAGCACAGTGTCCTTAAAAGTTTCTCCACAGTGTAGTCATCGTGCCAGTCGGCATCTTCCTTCGTTTTAAGGTTGACTCATCTGCCGTTGGGAGAGTATATTACATTTTGTTCCTCCACTTCTATGCCCAGCAGACACTTGAGTTACTGCTGTGTTTTAACACTGTGGCTAATACAGGTGCCGATTTACATGCACACATAGCTCCTGCTTTCATTTCTCATGGTTATATTTCCATAAGTGCTATTTTTGGATCCTACATGGAAATTTTAGTTTTTAACATTTTGAGGAAGCAACCTGCTTTTTAAAGAGATTTGTGCACTGTTTATTATGCTGATCC